AGTTTATAGGAGACAGCAAGAACAAGAGGATACTTTAATTAAAAAGACAAAATCAAACTGCAAGCTGAAAAGTCCTTTAGTTGAGACAACTTCATAAACAAAAGCGGAAACCACAAGTAAAGGGAAACCAAGAACAGGTATGAAGGGGATTGACACTACTTATAATGGAGACCCGGGAACCAAAATGAAAAAAAAGGGAGACAACTACCGAAATTAAAGATATATCACAACTAAGGGGGTAACGACAAGAACAAACAGGAAACCTCTCAACTAGGGGAGACAACAACGCTTGCCATGGTTACAAATGGATAAAGGCGAACAACAACAGGATTCCAGGGGATACCACAATTAAACTTTTTAAAAAACAATCATCAATAAATACGATTTTAAATACTGTGATTGTTAATAAACGTTGGAAATAGGAGTCATTTATGAAAAAAGATATTAAACATGACGATAGTTTTTTTCATAACGACAATGTTTATTTATATGAACCTAACACAAACACACACACGTGATTGCGCCTATAAAATGTCTTAGTAGATACTGTTTGCCAAAAAATGATTTACACTAAATAAAGACAATGCTTATATTTTACAATCATACGCAGTATATTGTCGATTGAGGTATGAATTACGTAGAGTATACATTATGATATTTACTGATACATTTAATTTGTTTCCAGTGCTATATCTAACCAAGGTGATTCGATCCGTGCAACGAATTCTGATATACACGATCAAACCATAATAAAGTCACAGTTTTATTGATAGATTATACCTTGTAAACTTGTACATAATCTTATTATCATTTATAACAATGGTTCAAAGTAGTTTAAATCGTTCGCATTGATCTTTTGTATGTGAAGTGGGTCACACACTACCGTTAACAGATCTGTCACAATGGGCATCGTGGAGCTACAAACCGCTACACTTGTAACTGACACAACAGGTGAACAAAGTTAGAAATTCGTGCCGTATATAACAATGGATCGTGTTTATCGTAATAACGCAATAAAGAATACATATCACGCAATGACTAATCAGTGCATTGTATCTGTATGAAGTCACCTGTAAGTTCATCATTGTGATACACTGCATAGTTAGTTTGAATATGTACGATCAGTGAAGCAAACGCTTCATCATAAAATTTTAGCGGGGAAAGTACATTTGATAAAGAGATGTAGAAGACAGGTTAGTTAGTTGGTTAGTTGTGAAGGGTTTTACGTTCTATCAACAGCTAAGTTCATTTAAGGACGTGCATCCATGGGTGTTGTGTATGCGTGTATGTATGTGTGTGTGTCGGAGGCAGGGTATGTTGGCGTATTAACCTCCTTGTGATAGCATCTGATGCCGACTTTATAGTGCTATCTCACTGAAGCACAATGACGAAGGCACTCATCACAGCATTCCGCCCGGTCACATTATACCGACAACGGGTGAATCAGGTGTTGCCATTACCGTAAATGCTGAACGTTAAGCAGGGAATAACAACTGCCATTTTTGAGGACTTTGGTATTTCCCAAAGATGGAGAGGAGCTTGGGTTAGGTACGGGTAGTGGGGTCATGGGATAACATGGATTTTTGAATGTTGGGATTGAAGGACTAGGAAAGTATTTTTGATTTGGGATGTTGCATTAGAACATAGACATAAATAAAAGGTTTAAAAAAATCGTTACGTATCGATTCATTTCAGAATGTACACTGAGTTTATATATTAAGTACATTGTAATAGATAAACCAACATTTATACAACGTTAGAAAACTTCGTGTAGGTCACTGGTACGTAATACCTGTAAATAATGTCAATACAATATCGGTAAGCTTTAACAGCCCATTAACGTGATTCGCTTAAACGATTATACCGAAACTGTTATAAGTAGCTTTCAATAATGTATTAAACGTAAGGCGGCTTTTCTATAACGTAACTCCGAGATTTTGTTTTCGTCAGTCAATCCACCAGCAAGATCAAACGATTGTATGTATTAAGTGTTAGCTTGATTCTAAACCTGACGCTACTGTTTAAATAACAGGGTACTATGTGATTGTATATTACACTACTGGAGACAAACACATACATTGTCTGCCTAATTGATGCCGGAATACCGATAGCCTGCGACACCAACAATCTACGGACACACGAAACAGTTAAAAGAGCCTCGGTCGTCTGCGCCTAGCACAATCTTCGCTGGCTAATGCAATTCACGCCAGCGAAAAGAATATAAATATTTAATTGCATTGTGAAAATAGAAAATGCTTTTATTGAACAGCTGAGCCCCATACAACGGCAAAAGTAGCATAGTCTGATTATAGGGACGAACTTTTACAACCGTCAAGAGATAAATTCCTGAGTCAGAGGAACGTGCTCCATGGCTTCAGACCTACGTCGGCATCGAGCGCAACGGAGAACAAACTAAACAGGCACGGTGTATACGTCGTTGGTGATTAAGTAACATGAGTATCTTATACATGAGACAGGTGTGCAGTGTGACTTTGCTGGATGGAAAATAACCAAGGTAAGTTACATATGTATCGTTCTTTACGAAATAAAAGACAACAAAAGCATTATTGACCGATATGGACTAATTGAACCTTAGGTAAACATTTCATAAAGTCAATATTGTGGAACGAAAGCAATTGCATTCGCACTGTCAATTAACTTAATCTGTAGTTATACCCAATAATGGGCAGTTATCATTCATTGTCAAGAACAATATGACGTTTACATTACATGCGGGTAGATCACCAAGACAGTCTCTGATGCATTTTTGTGAAACATTTCTTGTATTGACAATTTGTGTTTTAAATCGTTTTATGACTGAGCTAGCTAGAAGAGCGTTGGTTGGTTAACCTGTTTATCGGGAACAGACGCCTAACACACATACAGATGTTAATTTGGGGACATGTTTACGTACATAAAATACAACGTTTAAAACACAACACTTAAAATGCATTTTTATAATGGAGATGTCGGCGAACTATCGGGATTGTTGTTAACACAAGAGAAAGAGGTGACCGTAGACCAGTTCTCATTTAATACATACAAACGTGTTACAGACATAATTTAGATTGCTACAGAGTATGGAAGCATCTATCTAAATAGGTATTAAGTTGGTTTAGAAAACCATTTCAAGTATATGTTTGATGTGTTATATGACCATATCGCCCATTTCGGACTCACCAGTGTTACTGATAATAAAAGGACATTGCCTTTCACCAAGGCGGCCGGGATTCGATTCCCCGATCGGACTCGTACGTTGACCGGTTTGGGGTCACCTGTTATATCACGCGGGTTTTCTCCGGATACTCCAGTTTCCTCCCACATCGAGACCAAATGCGCGCTAAAATCTGGGCAAACAAGAGTGATTGATATAAGTTAAAATTATTTGTTTTATAATTGTTGTAAAATACGAATCCGTGTCTAACGTATTGGTTACTTCACTGTCTCCTCACAGAATGCACCAAAGGAATCTCCCGTTGGGAGTCAACATTAGTCTTCTCATACGAACGTACAAATCCCTTAAACTTCAGGGCGCTATGATTGAAACATATAAGAATTAATTATACATGGTATATACTCCGTGAGTCATATCGCTATTACTGTTAGCGAAACCGTTTCTTCGCGAATCTTTGTGACCCCAGGTGTAAATTAACATTGCATAACATATTTATAAAAATCAAAAGGGATTTTAACTGGATTAAGATAGCATACACTAATACACCATAAAACAAAATGTTTCGACTAGACACCAACACTTCAGGTGTTTTCCAAATCCGAACATTTTGTTGATGTAATGGAAAATACTCTTAATATTTTCCAGCCTCATTTTATTATATGACATATATTTATACCTAGATATATGACATGTGATGTAGCTCCCGATCCTTCATGTTAAAGGATCGAAGAAACGTTTGGTGATTTACACGCTACTGTCTCAAACATTTATAATTAGGATATGAATTTCGTTCTCCCTTTTTTAATATTAAAAGTTATTAAAAGAGGAGACTGGGTCAAGTTCAACTCCCAAAGTCCGACTACACCTGATAGTTAAAGCAAACACAATTTTGAGGATCTAAGCAGTCCTCTTGACTCTACGAAGCATTCAAAAATGGTGTAGAAAAATAAAAAATAAAAAATAAAGGGAGTAAGTTACTTTTTGGGCAACCGCGATATCCAGGGGTTACGCCGATGTTTGCGCGTAGAGAGCGATAATGAGCGTAACCCCTGGATAATCGAGGATGCTTTTTTGGAGGGTGGAAAAAATGACATCACTTCTCTCTAAATTTGCAAGCTTTTGGTAATCAAAATTGCTATTACTTATGTCATATGTAGCACACATAAGCTTGGTATTGAGTATCGTATAGTTGCAAGATATGAATTTCTTAAAATATCAATTTGTGGTAGGTTCGGTTAATGAGAGTGGGGCAGGATCCACACATGGAGCGTACTGACAGTAGCTGACATGGCATGCTTTATGACGTCACATTTATATTGAATTCAACGTGGGCTGGACGTAACCTGGCCTCAGTCTGTTCTAACAAAATTCACAAGACGTTTGGGCGTTCAACCTCTTGACAGAAAAAGTTTACAAGAAATAATTCTTCAGATACGGACGTATGGTCGTTTTAATAAAATTCTATAAAAAAAGTATGGATTTTTTCTTAAAAATGGTATATATTACGCATAAGTTTTAACAAACGCCGTGCTTTCATAAAAAATGGCCGAAGCAGCCCTTGTCTCCCCTAAGGAAAACATTTCTCAGCCATACACGAGAAGTATTGTCAATGACATGTTTAATTTCGGGTAAGAATCATACATGGGTATGGTCCGTGGACATGGCAATCTCAACCCTTGGCGAAGCCTCGTGCTAGACAGCCAAACTCTTACCCTAGGGTTGAGATTGACCTGTCCACGGACAACACCCCTGTAACATTCTTTTAATCGTTGCCATGCACTCAAGACGTCATCAAATTGCTCTGATGACGTCACAATGTGTGGTTTTGCACACGTTTCAAATATCAGAATCAAATGACATTTTTCGTTTCAAAACATGTGTAGTTTGTTTTAGACATCTGACATTATAATGTATACAAAGACATTAATACTTTCCCATTGAATTGCAGATCATGTGAATTGACGTACATTGGACCATTGTAACAACTGGGAAATATGGCGACGGGTCGTGATCGTCCATGTAAGTATGCAACTAGGAAATATGCCGAGGGTTCGCGATTGTCCATTTAAGTATACAACTAGGAAATATGCCGAGGGGTCACAATATACAACTAGAAAATATGCTGAGGGTCGCGATTGTCCATGTAACTATACAGTTGATCATCGTAATAATGTACAGAAGGATCGTGATCGTCATGTAAGTACTGATCATTAAAATAAGGTCGATAGGTCTCGATTGTTATATAAGTAAAAACTTATATAAAAACGTCTATACATCACCATGACCGTATTAGCCGCAAGAATAGTGTATGATGATGGAAATAGAGTTATTCAGTTTATATTTTATATAATTATCTATACTGTCAGTATACCACAATACGCCACCTACCGGTAGTATGATAAATTCATTTATGGCAAGGGTTGTCAATATGGGAATGTATTCTCTCAAAAAGAACGAATTATCGTGCCCGGTGAAGTCCTAAACCGGGAATAGAATTCACAGAAAGGGGTTCCGCGTTAGAAAATAGTTCGTATTGAACAAATCATTATAAAGTTATGAAAAAATGTTTTGAAGATAACAACACTATTAAATGTGGAAGCTAAGAAGCCAATGACGATACTATTGTTGGAAAATGTCTTTCTTCGTAGTTTTAAGTTTCATTGTATTCCTCCGCGGAATCTTCTATTATCTTGAGGATCAACAGTCGATTCAGCCATTAGTTTTGAAGGTTAAAAAGTAAGCTGAAACTACCTGTTGACAATCGGGTCGTCCAGAAAAAAGATCATGAACTGTTTCGAATAGTAGAATAAGGCTTTGAAGTACATTTGAAACAATCTTTTATTGTTTTATTTCTGTTGTCATAATGTTTTATTACTTTTTTTCGTATATTTTTATTTTTTCTGACTCGTTTCCTAGAGAAGTTTCAGAAACACGTTGTTTATTTTTACCTCGTGCGTTTATTGCAACACAAATGAAAATATATTATTATGACAAGAAGCCTGTGTAAACATATACATTATACAAATATTAATGACGTCATATCTTTTGTTGTAGTGTACGTATGGATTACGGGATTTTCCATTTCCGGTGTGATCTTCTTGGTCGGACTTATTGTGTTTTTGGTTTACGGATGTAAGCGATGGAAGGAAAACAAACAATTAAAACTGCGCAGAATGGAGCTGGAAAGTGAAATGGCGATAAACATAGACAAACAGGAAGTGAAAGCTGGTACTTCCGGTCACACATTTCGAGGCAGCTCACGTGTGGGTGTTATTAATAGCAAAGAATCTCAAGTTGTGGCTCCATCGGATAGTACAGTTGAACAGGAGACAATTAAATTGTCAGAATCAAGTCGAATAGTGACTTTTCAAGTGCCAAAAACTTTATAAAGTAGTGTGGCCTATTACATTTTGCATTTGACTCATTTCCGGTTGAACAGTTAAACGTGAAGCCTATATGAAGAAAGAAACGTTTTTTACTGTGATCAAATTTATTCATAGAATGGATTACATAAACCGACTTTGTGCTTGTAAACGTTACTGTGTCTTTCAAAGCATCGGCCAAAACAGGAATAGACTGGGAATGAAACTTGTTTATTGCCTCAGAACATTGTTGTGTAAGACAATGCATATTTATATATATTCACTCACCCATGTTACATTTTGATACCAAGAAATAAAGTTTATTCATTTCCACATTCTAAATGTTTTTCACGTCAATTTCGACCGTGGAAATTGATTTTTTCTTGGATTTTATAAACATCCTTTAATTTACCATTCGTCTTGTACGCTTTCCTAAAAAAATGCATAGAGGACGGACAAGCAATTCCAACCAATTAATTGTTTTCAGTGAAGGTGCAAAAAGGGAAATAATTTGATATGCGTTTGGGAAAAGATTCGAAGAATAAATTGATTTCAATTATATCGTCATTGCAGTTTACACCAAGGTTGTGAGCGTGGCGAAATCAAACTTGATGTTATACTCATGGATGCAGTGTTCTGTTTAATGTGTATATACTGTGTGTATATTTTTGCTAGACAATGTATAATCTACCGACATCTTAAGTTGTAATATGTATAAATGTCTTTACAGTGGCTAGACTGAAGATGATCGGCTTGAGAAATATACACATAATAAACTCCTCGTTCGATTGAAACTTTGTGTTTTGACTCCTGAACCCTCCCATTATCAAACCCTTCCTAATACCACAGATAAGTTGTATTCGGACCCCTGACTCCCTCCCATTATCAAACCCTTCCTACTATCACAGACAATTTGTATTCTGACTTCTGTCTCCCTCCCATTATATAACCCTTCCTACTACCACTGACTATTCGGACTTCTGACTCCCTCCAATTATCAAAACCTTCCCACTACCACTGACTATTCGGACTCCTGACTCCCTCCCATTATCAAACCCTTCCTACTATAACAGACAATTTGTATTCGGACTCCTGACTCCCACCCATTATATAACCCTTCCAACTACCACTGACTATTCGGACTCCTGACTCCCTCCCATTATCAAACCCTTCCTAATACCACAGATAAGTTGTATTCGGACCCCTGACTCCCTCCCATTATCAAACCCTTCCTACTATAACAGACAATTTGTATTCGGACTCCTGACTCCCACCCATTACATAACCCTTCCAACTACCACTGACTATTCGGACTCCTGACTCCCTCCCATTATCAAACCCTTCCTAATACCACAGATAAGTTGTATTCGGACCCCTGACTCCCTCCCATTATCAAACCCTTCCTACTATAACAGACAATTCGTATTCGGACTCCTGACTCCCACCCATTATATAACCTCCTTCCATTATCAAAACCTTCCAACTACCACAGACTGTTGGGAACCCTGACTCCCTCACATTATCAAACCCTTCCTACTACCACTGACTATTCGGACTCCCGACTCCCTCCCATTATCAAAACCTTCCTACTTTAACAGACAATTTGTATTCTGACTTCTGACTCCCTCCCATTATATAACGCTTCCTACTATAGCAGACAATTTGTATTCTGACTTCTGACTCCCTCCCATTATATAACGCTTCCTACTATAGCAGACAATTTGTATTCTGACTTCTGACTCCCTCCCATTATTAAAACATTCCTACTTCCATAGATAATTTGAATTCGGACTACTGATTCCCTCACATTATCAAACCCTTCCTACTACCACAGACAATTTGTATTCGGTATCCTCTCCTCCTCCCATTATATAACCCTTCCTACTACCACTGACTATTCGGACTTCTGACTCCCTCCAATTATCAAACCCTTCCCACTACCACTGACTATTCGGACTCCTGACTCCCACCCATTATATAACCCTTCCAACTACCACTGACTATTCGGACTCCTGACTCCCACCCATTATATAACCTCCTTCCATTATCAAAACCTTCCAACTACCACAGACTGTTGGTAACCCTGACTCCCTCACATTATCAAACCCTTCCTACTACCACAGACACAATATTTTCGGTCTCCTGGCGCCCTCCCATTATCAAACCCTTCCTATTACCACTGACCATTGGGACTCCTGATTCCCTCCCATTATCAAACCCTTCCTACTATAACAGACAATTTGTATTCTGACTTCTGACTTCCTCCCATTATATAACCCTTCCTACTATAACAGACAATTTGTATTCTGACTTCTGCCTTCCTCCCATTATATAACCCTTCCGACTACCACTGACTATTCGGACTCCCGACTCCTTCCCTTTATTTAACCCTTCCTACTATAACAGACAATTTGTACTCTGACTTCTGACTTCCTCCCATTATATGTAACCCTTCCTACTATAACAGACAATTTGTATTCTGACTTCTGTCTTCCTCCCATTATATAACCCTTCCTTCTATAACAGACAATTTGTATTCTGACTTCTGAATCCCTCCCATTATTAAAACATTCCTACTTCCATAACCCTTCCTACTACCACTGACTATTCGGACTTCTGACTTCCTCCTATTATATAACCCTTCCTACTATAGCAGACAATTTGTATTCTGACTTCTAACTCCCTCCCATTATTAAAACATTCCCACTTCCATAGATAATTTGTATTCGGACTACACTACTGATTCCCTCACATTATCAAACCCTTCCTACTACCTCCAACTACCACTGACTATTCGGACTTCTGACTTCCTCCTATTATATAACCCTTCCTACTATAATAGACAATTTGTATTCTGACTTCTAACTCCCTCCCATTATTAAAACATTCCTACTTCCATAACCCTTCCTACTACCACTGACTATTCGGGCTCCTGGATACCTCCCATTATATAACCCTTCCTACTACCAATGACTATTCGGACTCACGACTCCCTCCCATTACCAAAACCTTCCAACGACCACTGACTATTCGGACTCCCGACTCCTTCCCTTTATTTAACCCTTCCTACTATAACAGACAATTTGTATTCTGACTTCTGCCTTCCTCCCATTATATAACCCTTCCGACTACCACTGACTATTCGGACTCCCGACTCCCTCCCATTATATAACCCTTCCTACTACCACTGACTATTCGGACTCCCGACTCCTTCCCATTACCAAAACCTTCCAACTACCACTGACTATTCGGACTCCCGACTCCCTCCCATTATATAACCCTTCCTACTATAACAGACAATTTGTATTCTGACTTCTGACTCCCTCCCATTATATAACAAACCCTTCCTACTACCACAGACAACTTGTATTTGGAATCCTATCTTCCTCCCATTATATAACCCTTCCTGGTATGATAGACAATTTGTATTCGGACCTCTGACTCCCTCCCATTATCAAACCCTTCCTACTACCACTGACTATTCGGACTCCTGACTACCTCCCATTATATAACCCTTCCTGCTATGATAGACAATTTGTATTCGGACTTCTGACTCCCTCCCATTATCAAACCCTTCCTACTATAACAGACTATTCGGACTTCTGACTTCCTCCCATTATATAACCCTTCCTACTATGATAGACAATTTGTATTCTGACTTCTGACTCCCTCCCATTATATAACCCTTCCTACTATCACAGACAATTTGTATTCTGACTTCTGACTCCCTCCCATTATTAAAACATTCCTACTTCCATAGATAATTTTCCAACTACCACAGACTGTTGGTAACCCTGACTCCCTCACATTATCAAACCATTCCTACTACCACAGACACAATATTTTCGGTCTCCTGGCGCTCTCCCAAATCAAACCCTTACTATTACCACTGACCATTGGAACTCCTGACTCCCTCCCATTATATACCCCTTCCTACTATAACAGACAATTTGTATTCTGACTTCTGACTCCCTCCCATTATATAACCCTTCCTACTACCACTGACTATAAGGACTCCCGACTCCCTCCCATTATCAAAATATTCCTACTACCACATACTATTCCGACTCCTGACTCCTTCCATTATAAAAACCTTCCAACTACCACAGACTGTTCGTAACCCTGACTCCCTCACATTATAAAACCCTTCCTACTACCACAGACACAATATTTTCGGTCTCCTGGCGCTCTCCCAAATCAAACCCTTACTATTACCACTGACCATTGGAACTCCTGACTCCCTCCCATTATATACCCCTTCCTACTATAACAGACAATTTGTATTCTGACTTCTGACTTCCTCCCATTATATAACCCTTCCCTACTACCACTGACTATTCGGACTCCCGACTCCCTCCCATTATCAAAATATTCCTACTACCACATACTATTCCGACTCCTGACTCCTTCCATTATCAAAACCTTCCAACTACCACAGACTGTTCGTAACCCTGACTCCCTCACATTATCAAACCCTTCCTACTACCACAGACACAATATTTTCGGTCTCCTGGCGCTCTCCCATAATCAAACCCTTACTATTACCACTGACCATTGGAACTCCTGACTCCCTCCCATTATATACCCCTTCCTACTATAACAGACAATTTGTATTCTGACTTCTGACTCCCTCCCATTCTTAAAACATTCCTACTTCCATAGATAATTTGTATTCCGACTACTGATTCCCTCACATTATCAAACCCTTCCTACTACCACTGACTATTCGGAATACTGACTCCCTCCCATTATCAAACCATTCCTACTACCACTGACTATTCGGACTACTGACTCCCTCCCATTATCAAAACCTTCCTACTTTAACAGACAATTTGTATTCTGACTTCTGACTCCCTCCCATTATTACAACATTCCTACTTCCATAGATAATTCGTATTCGGACTACTGATTCCCTCCCATTATCAAACCCTTCCTACTTTAACAGACAATGTGTATTCTGACTTCTGACTCCCTCCCCTTATATAACCCTTCCTACTATGATAGACAATTTGTATTCTGACTCCTGACTCCCACCCATTATCAAACCCTTCCTACTCTCACAGACAATTTGTATTCTGACTCCTGACTCCCACCCATTATATAACCCTTCCAACTACCACTGACTATTCGGACTACTGGCTCCCACCCATTATCAAAACCTTCCAACTACCACAGACTGTTCGTAACCCTGACTCCCTCACATTATCAAACCCTTCGTACTACCACTGACTATTCGGACTTCTGACTTCCTCCCCTTATATAACCCTTCCTACTACCACTGACTATTCGCACTACTGACTCCCTCCCATTATTACAACATTCCTACTTCCATAGATAATTTGTATTAGGACTACTGATTCCCTCACATTATCAAACCCTTCGTACTACCACTGACTATTCGGACCACTGACTCCCACCCATTATCAAAACCTTCCTACTACGACAGACTATTGGGTCTCCTGACTCCACCGCATTATACATCCCTTCCTACTACCACAGACAATTTGTATTTGGAATCCTATCTTCCTCCCATTATATACCCCTTCCTACTATAACCGACAATTTGTATTCTGACTCCTGACTCCCACCCATTATATAACCCTTCCAACTCCCACTGACTATTCGGACTTCTGACTTCCTCCCATTATAAAACCCTTCCTACTACCACAGACAAAATATATTCGGACTACTGACTCCCTCCTATTATCAAACCCTTCCTACTACCACTGACTATTCGGACTACTGACTCCCACCCATTATCAAAACCTTCCTACTACCACAGACTATTCGGTCTTCTGACGCCCTCCCATTATCAAACCCTTCCTACTACCACTGACCATTGGGACTCCTGACTCCCTCCCATTATCGAAACCTTCCTCCTACCACAGACTATTCGGTCTCCTGACGCCCTCCCATTATCAAACCCTTCTCACTTCCACAGACAATTTTGTATTCGGACTACTGACTCCCTCCCATTATATAACCCTTCCTACTACTACTGAGTACTACCACTGACTATTCGGACTACTGACTCCCTCCCATTAAATAACCCTGCCCTAATACCACTGACTATTCGGACTCCAGTCTCCCTCCAATTATCAAAACCTTCCTACTACGACAGACTATTGGGTCTCCTGACTCCACCACATTATACAACCCTTCCTACTACCACAGACTATTCGGACTCCCGACTCACTCCAATTATCAAAACCTTCCTTCTTGTTTTCGAACTTCTGACTCCCCACATTATCAAACCCTTACTACAACAGTACAAGAGACAATTTGTATTCCAACTCATGACTCCCTCCCATTATCAAAACCTTCCTACTACCACAGATAATTTGTGTTTGGACTTCTGACTCCCACCCATTATATAACCCTCCCTACTACCGCTGACCATTGGGACTCTTGACTCCCTCCCATTATCAAAACCTTCCTACTACCACAGACTATTCGGTCTCCTGACGCCCTCCCATTATCGAACCCTTCTCACTTCCACAGACACCTTTGTATTCGGACTCCTGACTCCCTCCCATTATCAAAACCTACTACCTCACACAATTACGTGTACGAACTCCTGACTCTTTTACATTATAAAACCATTCCTACTACCACAGACAAAATATATTCGGACTCCTGACTCCCTCCGATTATCAAACCATTCCTACTACCACAGACATAATATATTCAGACTTCTGACTCCCTCCGGTTATCAAACCATTCCTACTACCACAGACATAATATATTCGGACTTCTGACCTCCTCCGATTATCAAACCATTCCTATTTCCTCAGACACAATATATTCGGTCTCCTGTCTCCCTTCCATTATTAAAACCTTCTCACTTGCACAGACACCTATGTATTCGGACTACTGACTCCCTCCTATTATCAAACCCTTCCTACTACTACAGACATTTTGTATTCGCACTCCTTAACTCCACCAAAAAAATATAAAAACCTTCCTACTATCACAAACACTTAGTATACTCACCCCCCCCACCC